GCTTAAATAGTAGAGAAGCAAAATCGCTAATAAAGTCCGAAGTAGAACGCTAATAACGGCTGTGAAAATTACATATAGAAAAATCTTTTGATTTTTAATTAGTGTAAAAAAATTTACATTGCTTTGCCATTTAACAGATCTGTTTGTTTTACTTTCGTCAATAACAGTAGTAACGCTGTTAATTAGCAGCCATTTGACTGTTCACTCGTATCTTCTCGTTATTCGTATCAGCAAAAATTTCTGTTAACAGCGTCTCGATATGACGCCATACTCTCTCAAACATTTCTCTCAAAGCAGAACATATACAAATGCATATACATACTTAAGAAGAAAAAAAAAAGAAAAGAAACAATTATAACTAGGTTTCATCGTTTATCTCATATTGAAAAATAATCCTAAATTTTATGTTCGCCAAATGCTTGACTAAATTTCAGAGAAAATATTCCTTGAAAAAATACAAAGGCATTTATTGTTTATTTAACATAGTTGTTGTGTTATAAACGAACATCACGTTTTATATGTCAAAATAGTTCACATTGAAGTATCTTTGAAATTCTGTCACTTGTTTCTCAACTTAATTTTTTTTGTAAATATAAACTTTCAACTGATTAAAATAAAACGCTAGCTCCAACATAATATATATATATATATTTGCACACACATATCTATAACGTAGTTCATGCGACTGTCCACATTTCTTATGAGTTATTGTGCACGACGTTTTAATTATTTATTGCACATGACTGCTTGCCCTGAATACTTTCCAGACTTATTCACCATAATTTTTTTTTAATTTAAATATAGTACAGTTTCCCTTCTACAATAGTTATAATATTATTGCAAAGAAAATATAAATGAATATTAAATCAAAATATTAAAATATTATTCGTTAAGCCTAACCAATGCAATTTGAAATGCTTTCAATATTTTCGATTAGTCTACTGTAGACCAGGGTGCAATCAGTCTAAAAATTTCAAATTTTCGCGCTCAATAGGCCCAATAGGCAGCGTCCGTATTCGCTGCAAACGTTTTGTTAACTCAACATTTGTGCCAAAAATTAGTCTTCCAATACACAATTTCTTTGACGTCGCACTTTTTTCTAGATATTCTGCACATATCGTATATATTGAAAAATAGCCCTATGTCTATTCTTCCACTTCTTAAGATGAAAGATGAAAGATGATTTTAAAAGTGATATCGATATCGATCCCGGAAATTTTTGGTGCACCTGGTCACCGTTGTCAAATAGCAGCACTTACCAGCGGATTTCCTTCTTATCTTGAGTATTAACTTAAGTACACGTAGGAGCAAAGTGAACTTACAACGCCTCTAATATCTGCGGATTGAAATGCTTTTTTTTTTCTTTTTCTACGCATGCCATCTTAATACATGCTATCGGTTTCTTATAAACACTGCAAGCTTTCTCCATAATATCTGTCAAGATGATCGTACTAATCTATCAAAATACGATTTTGAATAATGAAGTGCTCTATGACGCGTTTTACTTGCAGCAAACTTAGAAACGAGGAATCAGAAGAAGGCGACTACTATATATGGACATTAAGAGGTTGCCTTCAAAATGGATATATTCTGAAAATTATGTTTGCCTTTCTAGTAAAAAACAACTGAGAAAGTTATATTTGGAGGCGGAGGCCGAATCTCGCATACCCACCGCTATGATATCCGCATTCCACTCTCCAAATTCTTTTATTTGGTACCCATATCGCTGCTATTACTAACAAAAAATAATCGCGGTCTCTACTTTAATCATTTTAAACTTAACCTTTTTTTAGACATATAACATATATTAGACAGATAACATATCTTCATTTGAATAGTATACGAAATAGTTTTAAACATTCGGTCTTGCTTTCCTTATGATAATAAAGCCTAAAGCCTCAAAAAAGTGAAAAATATTAAATTCAATTACTCGTAACTACGTGCGGACATGGTCGATTGATTCCATTTTTGGACCTAGAGAGTAAAGTGTCTCGTAAAGCAAATATGGAAAGTGTCAGCCTTTTTTCTAACTTTAATCATTTCCGAGTAACGAGCAAAAATTCAAAAATTTTTGTCAATTTTTTTTACGCTCCATTGCGCGCTTCTGCTCTAACCAATTGCAGAAATTTCCAATGTTTTTACCAAATTTGAAGTCGATATCTTCATTTTTTCGACCAGGAATCTGCCAACAACACGCACCACATAACCACCCATACCGACAGACATGGCTAAATCAACTCAGAATTTCAGGTTGATCATGAATATATAAAGTGTCTCTGAAGCTTCATTTTGCATGTTACATACATTATGGAAAAAAACACACTGAGTGTAACCCCATCTTACAGTGGTGGGTGTAAAAAAAAAGAGGAAAAATGAGATCTTAGAGTTGTATATGAATGACAGAAATAGTCCACTTTACAAAATGATATCCAAGCAAGTAAGAAATTGGGCTGGCGACGAATCTCGCATAACCACCATCATTAAACTTTCTGACCCCATCTGCTTTCATTTATTATCATAAAAAGTTGAATGGTATAAAATTTTGCTCTCAACATTAAAGTCACTAAAAGGTATTGTTTGGAAAAATTAATCATCCACGTCGTGACAGTCACCGTAATTAAGTTACAATTAGCACACTTAACTTTTCGCATCCCATTCTCCTATTCGCTCTTATTTAATGCCCATACGGACGGTATGTTTAAAAAAAGATTTATCCATCATATCGTCACGTTCATCACAATTAATTTAGAGTTAACACACTGTCGCCTTCTACTCCCCCAAATCGTTTCAGTTGATACCCATACGTATGGTGTTGTTAAGAAAACATTAACCCACCAGTCCCTGATGTCCACCATATTTATTTTAGAATTAACGCATTTTTAGTCAGATACTACATCTGCATTTAAAGAATGTACAAAATAGTTTTAAATATTCATCTTGCTTAACTTATGATAAACATAAAACCACAACAAGTGAAAAAAAATAAAATTTAATCACATGTAACTTTGTGTGGGGATGGCCGATTTTTTCCATTTTTTCACATACATCGTAGAGTAAACGTGGAAAACATTAGCCTTCTATCCGTTGGAATTTGAAAGCATGAAATGAGACGAAACCCACAAATATTTTTTTAGAAAAACAAAGAAGGTGCGTTCCCTTTACGCTTCATTACGGACTCATGATCTGACCAATTTGTACCATTTTAAGTGAAATCTTGCGTGCAAAAACTCATAATGTTTGCACAAAATTTGAAGCTGATATCTTCATTGTTGGGACCAGGATATCGCCAACAACCAACATCACACAGACGGACAAACATGGCTAAATCAATTCAAAATTTCACACTGATCAGCAGTATGTGTACTGTATAGAGTCTCTGAAGCTTCCTTTTGGGTGGTGCAGACATTGTGAAAAAAAAACGAAATGAGTATACCCCCATCCTTCAGTGGTGGGTACAAAAATATGATGATGATGATAAAACAAGTTCTACATAAACATTGATTCCCTACATTATATATGGTCAACACCTAGGATGGTATTTTCGGGATATTTGGATCAGCTCTAGCACATTCACATATATTGGATCGGGGGCGAAACCAAATTGAGATTTATACTGACCTATTTTGGAAAACTTATTATATGAAACAAATTTACCATTATTAACATTTTTCGACAACAGTTTGGTTAAGAGTGATATTTTTCAAATATTACATGGATGCGAAAAACTTGGAGGGAGCAATACCATTTTTTTAATTACACAAAGTTTTTGCTGACAGAAGAAGTACAATTACTTTTCTATAATGGTTGCCCATATGTAACGATTCCGTTCTCGCGATATGTTTCATAAAAACTTTTTTTTTGCGCATTAAATTTGGCTGCATTCTTCACTATATACATATATATATATATAAATTAGCAAAGACATAATCCTTATTTAAAATAAACAACAGCAACCCTGACAAAAATAAAAAAGGTCCCAACGAAAATAACAATTGAAGCTTATTCTTGTTGACTGATCACACATGTCCAGCTTGTCACTTCGTAAAGCGAAAAAACATTATATATTTATAATTATATATTTATAATATTTTTATAAAATGTTACAATTAATTAAGCCCATCTTTTCTTTTTATATACTAAAGGTGAGGTTACTAGAAATCTTCCATTTCTTATTTCACACAATTTTCTTTTTGAAGTAAAAGTTAACGTTGTACAACAATGATATCAGTTTCTTATTTATATTTTTCTAACTCTACAAAAAACTACAAAACAAATGGACAGATAATAATTCTTTGTATTGTTATAACAGGCCAATAGAATTAAGCGTTTTTTCTACCCAACCTATAGTCGCAGGAAAGTATTGCCATTTGTCAAAGAAAGGAATATTTATGAGAAAGATTACACATAACTTTCTTTTTGATTAATTGTTATGTTAATTCCTTTTTTTCTTCTGTGTGTTTCCTTTATCTTTAAACATCCTAATCGTGTGAACGGGATGTAAACATTTAGCTATTGAATATGCTAATAATTCATTCCAATAATTTCCTTGCTTTAGTTTGGTTTTAAAATGTGTATTTATGAATTTTCTTCTTTTTTTTTGTGAAAATTTAAGAGCGCGGGGTAGAGGGAGTTCAAATATACATCCCGGAAACATTTGGGTTTGCATATTGCAAAATTGCGTTGAGAAAGTTAAACAAAATTGAAAATTACATTTGTATGAAAGCAATTAATTTAAGACAAATAAAAAGTTTTTCTTCACATTTTTTAAAATTGCCTAAATTAATATAAAGGTACAAATATTTGTGAAAATTTCATCTGATATTCCGAAAACGTTTAACCTCATTTAATGTATTCTCCATAAATGCAACAAATACGAAATATTGGCAAGCACTGACGAAAGACAGGTATATTTTTTAAGATGGTGACTACAGCTGTTTGCTTGAGACGCAGCGAGATATTTGTGTAAAATTACCTCAAACGAATGTAAATAAATTGTGATTTTCCATACTTTAAAAGTATTTAATGTTCAATAAAACAAAATATTAGGAAAACTCAAATATATCGTTAACTTTTTTCAAGTACATAAAAAAGATATTTTGCATCTTTTTGCGTTGTGTGTGTGTGCGTGTGTTGTGCAAAAAAAAAGATTGAAAAATAGTTTGGTCAACAAATTCTATATTCTGTACGAATCGATTCATATAAAATGAATTTAAAAAAATAAAAAGAATAAATGTCGAATTATTTATTTAATAACTAAAATTGTTTTGAAATAAAGCACTTAAAGCAAGAGAGAAAGTAAAATTTTCAAAAGGAAGAGTTGCCATTTTGTTTGTGCTTGGATTGCGACATGTTTTGGCCTCTAATTGTTTTCTATATTACATACATATATGTAAATATACATATATTTGTATGTATGTACATACGCATATGCATCTAGATACATACATACATAAATATACATATATATTTATATATTTTTTTTTATTTTGGTAAAAAAACAAAGAACTGCCGTACTTGCAAAAACAAAGAATAACAATTCCCAAATCTATACCGGCTTTAACCTAACATTTAAGTGTTCAAATTTGTTTACAACATTTTTAAATATATAAACCGGAGCACTAGTCAAACCGGTTTTTCTTACTTTTATATGCTCCTTCTGTCCTTTTTTTCGTTTCTACCCACTTTGAATATTAATTCTTACAATGCCGCTAAAGCCAAATCCAGTTTATTATGTTTATGTGTCTGCATACATATTTTATCGAGAAAGTTTATTTGCCGTTATACATTATGAGGATATCTATATATATATACGATATATATTACTTAAAAACGTCTTCTTATGGGCTTTCTTAGTCCACAACGAGAGATTCTTGCTTGATTATTAAGCCAGATCTCGCATATTTGCAAAAGTATACAGTGAAAATATGGCGTTCAATTTGCAGCTGTTTTTGTTTTATGCATTTTACTCCATTCCTTATCTGTGCAAGAGTTTCTCCAAATAATAAATGTTACATGCTCTCTTATAATATTTTTCTCTTTCTCCGCTCATTTCTTGTTATTGCATTTGTAAGAACATATTCTCTGAATTGTTTTTCCTTTGGTATTTGTGAAAACAATTTTAGACGAATTTTGTATTTAATTAGAGAAAATAAATGTAAAATATATAATGAAAATAGTAATAAAACAAAGGTCAAGTACACTATTATACACAATAAAAAGGAAATATAAATAAATAAATTGTTGATATTTTGATTATTTGCTTTTTCATTTTAAAAAATTCAATTTTTTTTCCTTTTTTGTTCAGTTTGATCTTAACTGAGTAGTAAGAAATTTAATTAATTTCTTGTATAAATCTCATAGAATGTCCTTATAACAATGCCGGAGATGCTGTTATTTCTATTACTGTTTTATTGGTTGTTGAAACAGTCAATACACCTTCATTGTAACTAGCTATGCACAATGTAATATTTTTGCTATTGTGTTTCTTGTAGATTCACTTACAATCCAACAATACGCTTAGTTTAGCTTTGTCCTTACAAGCATATTCTTTGTTAGGAGTAAGGATTTGTGATTAAAACTTTACATTACAATATTTCTAAAAAATAAAATTCCAAAAATAATTTTTAACATTTACTTTTATGCGTATAAAATACAATGGATTAATGTGTTCATAAATGTGTTAATGCGATAGTCGTTATAGTCCGCAATATACAAAAAAATAAAAATTTTTTTATTGTAAATATAAACGGAAAAATATAATATGGAAAAGGATTTTAAAGATGTAATCCTCAACAAAGTGAATTTTTGTCAAAAGTGCTCTGTGTTATTGTTTTCGAATTATGTGCAATTTAAAAAACAAAAGTTGATTAAAAAAAGAAACTACGGCTGTTATAATTATATCCACATCAATCTGTACGACTGAACTTGCAAATCGCCTGAAAATAAATACATTTAGTCGTCATAGGATGCTACGCTGTAATAGATTCTGACATGAACGAATACTATAAAATGTCGTCAAAAAATTTTTAAAGCTTCATTGATGTTTGGAAAGCGTCTTCTGGATGGACCGAATTAAAAATTATAAATATTTTTAATAGATGCCCGCAATAAGATGAAGAATGCAATAGTTAATTGAAAAAATCAAGATAAATTAAAGTTGATAGAATTTATTATATTGCAAGATACTTATTGCGTCAAAACAAGTGTCAGCTCATAGTTTTATATAAATTATATTTCGATACTTTTTGGTGATTATCTCGCTAGGATCATTACTGGCGGAATTCAATCAAATTCCGATTTCCTTTTTTTAAAGTAAACTTTTTATACCTGATGAGAAAACTTATTTAAAATTGCATACTAATTAATATTGACAGAAAAGAGAAGGAAACAAGCATAACGCGATCGCGTTAGTCTCAAACTTTGTTATACAAAGATACTTTTTCTATTTTTAATAAATTAAATAATATACTCATTACGTTTCAAGAGTTTAATCATCGAATAACGATAGTAATCGATAATCGCATTATTTTGGTTAACAGTAGTTACGACTGACTAAAATAAGAAATATCTGAGAGATAAAAATGCAGGCAATGAAATTTCGTACAGAATACTCTCTCTTATAGTTTTCTTTTTAGGATCACGACGCAAAGTTTTTTGTGAATTTATGGCACGTTTTTAAAATGCGTGGATTTTCATGAATACCTTCTTAAAATATGAAATTTCAGTTTTTATTTAACATATGATGCTTTCCTCATGTTTGAAGTATGTACGAGATAAAAAACAACTGAGAGCTCTCAACAGCTTCACTAGGGAATTATTAAATTAGATAACTAATAAACAAGACATAAGCCTTAACTCAGTTCGCATGAACTTAGGTATTATTAACAAAGGTGCGACATCCTACATTAGCTGAAGAGGGAAAATTTTTCAGCTATGGCAATTCCATTTAATAACGCCAGATGTTCAATTTCAGAAAATCTGTTAAAACTCTCTATAGGAATAATTCGTTAAGCCTCGTTTAATTAATTTTTTGACAATAATTACCTTTAAATTAAAGAATATTTATAACATTATTAATAACAGAAAGTGAAATGAAAACGAGATTATATTAATTGAACGCCATCTACATCTGCAATCTCAACAATTCAGAACTACGGATAGAAATAAACAAAGAAGAAAAAAAGAGCAAATAGCAAAACGATATGTAATTTGGTGTATGTGCGCGTTTATTCACAAGGCTAAAAAATATAAAAATTTATTTTTCCATGAAATTCATTTAGAAAAACGATGCGACTTGCCACCACATGCTTTGCGCTTTTTTTCTTCTTTTATGTTTTTATTAAACAAATATTAAAACAGTTTGCGCTTAGACAACACTTTATAAATGTATAAATATGTTTTTTGCAGCTCTTCTCTTTCATGTAATTTTTGTGAGGAGCTAAAATTCAATATGCTATTCTCACTTATGTGGCTAAAACAAATAATGAAATTATATTACTGCCAGTTCATGTTAATGTGTGTATAAAAGAAAAGAAAAAAGAAGAAAACAAGCGAATTTGAGTAACAGCAGTGGATTTCAGCCAAACGGAGAAACAATAAAACTGTTGACAACACACACATATTAATCGTTTTCGCTTAACACAAAAAGAAATGTTGTATATAGTATTACTGTTTATGTTTATATTGATACTGAGAGAGAGAAAGCTATTTCTTAATAATTGACATTTACTTCTTGATCTGCATTAACAACATAGACCAGCGTTGTCGAAGAGAAGCTACTCATCTCATCCAAAATAAATAACAAACAGAGAATATTGCACATTGTAAATAAAAACAAAAAAAATAAATGAATATATATATATATAGATATATATATATATAGATATACATATATGTACATGTATATATATATAAGTATGTGCGCGCAAGTGTACATATATATGTAAGTATATATATACAATTGTATATATATATATATAACAATATATACTATAACAATATATGTATATATATATATATTATATATATATACAGAAATTAATATTCATACTAACATAAAATCGAAGGAAAACTACAAGTGTGCTGCTTAATAAAATGTCAACGTTCTTAAATAATTTCTTTCCAGCAGGTAAGTATTATTTTAGTTTTTAATTACAAAAACTTATTAATTATCTATAGTCCTTTCGCCGTCACCTTGACTTCCTATTTCATGAGTTCGTTTTAGCATTAATTTTTTCAAAGATTATAAGGATTTGACTTGCTTTCGATTCAATCTCTGCTTTTGCAGAGTAGAGTTCCGATCAAAGGTTAGAATTTTGGGTAACATTATAATTTCGAAAGCATTGATTTCGCTCTTTATCCTAATGTGAATGTGTATATTAAAATTGACGTTCTATTTATAACCGTTACGAATGTTATGTGAATAAACTTATACATCTTTTTAATTATGATAAAGTTCAAAGTTTGCTTGACATAACAGGGTTTAATATTTCATTAAAGATTGCTTTGCATTTATGTTATCCCACCATGGTCTGATCGGAATGATTTCAGCAAAATTTCTGTTCTCCATAACTATGTTAGCTTACAAATGATACGCGTTATTAAGTATTAAATTAATTTGCATATAATATAAACGGCATTTAAATCGAGAGTTCATATATTCACTAAATTATCCTATCCTAGTTTCCATATGTGTTCATTAATAAGAGAGGTTTTAATAGCAAAATTAAATAATTGAAGTAAAATTTAAAAAAATAAAAAATAAATAAATGAATAATTCGTGACCACAATAGGAAAATTATTCGCACTTTAAAACGAAGCTTTGCCATATGTGAACATAGCTAAGTACAAATTCTGAAATATGAGCCTGAATAATGTTTTACGATTCCAGTGGATTGTGTCGCTAAAATTTTGGGCTTTCAGTTTTCAACATCTGATTTAAATGGAGATTATGTTTCCTTTCAACTTCGACCTAACAAATTTAAGGACATATGGGGGGTATACTAAATTTCTAGGGCTTATCTTAGTTCTTCTCCGGTTTTAGAAGTTCGACGACAAGAGATAGCTACACTGAAAGGACTAAATAATTGATATGGCTTGCATCTGAATCGGATCAAGAATACAATGCTACAAATTGGAGCTATATAATTTGCATTAGTTTTTCCTTCTTTTACTTCCTAATATCATTCAGATATGCATATGTTCGTTAGGATAAGTCTATCTTATTTTCGAACATTAGATGTTCTTTTCTTTGAAGAACGACATCATATCTTAAAATATCTAAAAGGATCAGCCAGGTTGTTCAGAGTCGATCAGAATATATGGTAGTGTAAATGCGCAATATGTGTGGTGTACAGGATGCTCATAAGCCTACTATGAAAATGGTTGTGATAAGCCCACAATCACGCCCATAATAGAGCAGATATCGATCCGAAACTCGTTAAATATACAATTGGACAAAGACAATTTGAAATTTCATTAAAAAATCGAGCGTCATCCATTTACAAACACGCTTGCAAAGACAAAGAACTGACCTACATGTAAAGTCTATTAGAATTTTTTGAGACAGTTACATATTGGTTTGTGGTAATAGCCATCAAAGATTCATTGTACGGAGTATAGCCTTCTTTCTCGTTATTATTGCGATAACGTGGAATCAATGACTATCTCCACTTACATACATACCGTAAGAGATCCGATTTTCACGATTAGTCAATATGATGCAATTTACTTTTCTCTTAAGGCGTATGAACCAACGTTTGATACACCGAAAGCGTACTTTGGCGTTTATCGTCTGGAAATTTTTTAATTTGAGAATCATATATATCATATATACGTATATATATATATATCACAGGTAAATTGACGGTTACTTAACCTATATGTTCAGCTATGACTTGAAAAAATGTACATCTTCATTACCTTAACTGCATCGTACAATTATTCGTTTTCAAACTTTTTCAGACTTTTCTTAGTCGCTCTTGTCCTTAACCTCGAAATTTCATTAAGGTTTTTTTTTTTAAAAAAAATCTAATTATATATATATCTATAGCAATCCATGTCAAATGCTATGTAACTAACGTGGTAGTGAATGGGGCTGAAGGAAATAAGAGTGTACATAAATCGCACGAATAATTGTTGAGACATTTTCACTTATATCAAACCTATTATCAAGCACTCTGTAAATTAAGACTATAAATTTCTTTTTCTTCTTTCTCATTTGGCATATTAAAAAATGAAAACAATGCTCAGATTTCGTTATTATGATTTCTGAAAACCAGTTTGCATTTCAGGTTTCAGCTCAGTTGGCTATACATGATGGTACTCTTCTCCTTTTGTTTTCTCTATACTTTTAAAGCTAAGAAAGAAGTTAAAAACCACGAGAACCGGAAATCCATAGCAGCTATACAAAAAGATCATGTGATTAGCTTCAATTTTGAAAGTAATACAAGCAAGAGTTATTTTCTTCTCTTAAACCAATAACTCGTTTTACTCCAATCATATAACGTTTGCATAACAATATATAAATACATGTACGTGTATATGTATGCATATATATATATATATATATATATATATATATATATATATATTATTTATATATTTATGTATGTACGCATGTACGTATCTATACCACTATCGCTTAGAATAAGACTGAAATTTTTGTTTTCTATATTTTAATCTTATTTCTTAAAAGTTTTTATTTTCGTGGGCTGTGAACGTATACTATTTAAGCTTATATACGTTACGATCACTAGTCAATGCTTTTTGGTTAATGATTGATCTGCTTCTTATTCATGCCATTCCAAGGTTACATTAACTTTGTGAAATATTTACAAATGCATATAATAACTTATCTAGCACAGATCTCGAACGATATTAAACTGCAACCATCCGCCTACTATGGACATCTCAAGTAGAGATCGAAAAATTGATTTGCAATCATTCGCTTTTCATCTAATTCCTTTAAATTGCAAAGTTTAAAGCACCAACTGGCCTACAATAAGCGAAAACAATAAACAGAGTAATCGGTAATCTTTTCGAATTACTCCAGGCTCTCCGTTCAGTTTCATCTATTACTGACGCGAGCTTTACGTAACCACAGACATGGAGGGAAATTATTAAATCGACTCGAATTGTTAAGCCAATTGAGGCCATATACGAGGATTTACTGAAAAGTGTCTGACCTATGAAACGAATAAATTATTTTTTAAATTTTCTTTTATTTTTCTAGATAATCTTTTTGTATGAATATAGATTTCCCCTAGCAATGCTACCATCCATGCAAGCCAAGTCTAAATAAAAGTTGGGCTTTTTTACTGCAAAATAGGGATTAAGAAAGTTTGATCATCTCTTAATTTGATGAAAATCTCTATACTTCAGTCGCAACTTTTAGCTAAGAGTTTAAAAAAACAGTATGTTAGGACTGGATCTTGGTACCTAGACGGATAATTTAGTAGTTCTCACTGTAATTGATAAAATTACGCTATGGAAACCGCTGAAGTCTGAGCCAGCGTATTACCTTAATGAAATAAATTTGCCGCTTCGGCACATGTGTCTTCCCGTTGTTAGTATTGCCTTCTAAACAAAATATATATTTAATGACATCGCGACACTCATTTTTTGAAATCGATTTTCACGAAATAGACTCAAACTTATGGAATCAGTTCAAAATGTATAAATTTGGGGAAAAAGTGCTGCCATCTCAGAGTTTAGGCTGGAAAGTTTTCTAACCACCTATGTAAGTTTTACGGGGTCTCTAAAGGCATATTCCTTAGTGTTACGAACACAAGGACCAACTCAATGCATCTTTTCCTTTCCTTTCTCGATTGCTCAATACAGGTCGTAATTAGGTTGCGATTTCGATGATGACAAAGTTGCAAGAAATGCAAGAAGAGCGTTGGCCATAGCTTGAGTTCTTAGACATTAAGCTCGACTAGAAAGAGTTTGCGGCACATTTTGCACAAACACTCGGTATTGCGAGCATTCAATCAAGAAACACAAATAGCTGCTGACAAGAAATGCATTTGTTAAACGAAAATCGATGGCGAAAAAGTATTGCTCTCACACTTCTTTTGGTACAGGCAGTGAGATTTTAAAAATAAAAAAAAAAAAATCCCTATGTGCAGGTGTGTATTCAAATTTTTTCGAGAAAGCTAAATACAAATCTAGAATTTCACGCTGATCATGAATATTATATGTATTTTCTGTAATTCTTGATGATGCGTATTTTTGAGTTGAGAAATAACAAAAGAGTAAATTTACCCTTGCACTAAGGTACATACTTCTTGGTAACAAATTGAGCGGTATAACAATTTCTTATATTCTCTCTTATGTGAATAATTGAAATCGCATCTGAAAATTGCTATAATAACATGGACTTGGAATGGTATTAAATGAACGTTCCTTCGAAAATTGGTTGACGGTTTGCATCGAATTAATTAATAAACCCTCTAGTGTTTAAACGTCGAAAATACCTCACCGCAAATGTTATGAAGATGATCTTTAGAAACAGTGTCACTGCTGCTGTGATTGAAGAAAACTATTTGATGATAATTGAATGCATTCCTGTAACGAAATTTCCATAATTCAAACAAATATAGAAAGTGAAAGAGCAGACAAAAGGGGGGAAGAAAAAGAAAAAAAACAAATAAGAACGGTATAGTTGATCAGGGCTAACCAATAAATACCCTACACCATTTCGCGTGATACAATCTTTTCTTAATAATACACCAAAAATTATACATTATTTTTATGTAAATACATAATTTTTCATAAAAGCCTCCATATTAGAGGAGATTTAAACGTTCACATAAGATGGGCTCTATCTCAAGTCCGGGGGGTGGGTGTTACAATTGTCCCCATAAACTTAATATAACTTGTATCACAAGTAAGTAGTAAAAGGTATAATAAATAATGTGCTTAGCATGAAAGGCTGAAATCAAACGGTCAACAACGTTTCGTAACCGATGAGTATGCGTTTGATTGTTAAATAGAAAACTTGGACATATTTTTTATTCCATTGTAACATGCGGAGAGCAGACGACACACAGCCACTTCAATAAACGTAAGTGCATCATAATGCATATGAAGTTAAATTATTGCAAAGAAAGCTCGCGCTCGCCATTA